CATGAAACTAGTTTATGCTAAACTGAAAGGAAAGGAAGAGGAGTCGCTTCTAAAGTGAATGGAGTGAGAATAGGCCTTTAAGAGATCCTATGGGACCAAGTTTTCCTCACTTTATCCAACATTCTGAAATACTATTAGGAAACCCAGACTAATTTATCCAAAGGGAGAACATTAGAAATGGGAACATAGTTATCTCTGGATGCTGAAATTATGGCAACTTTAAGTCTTATTTCTACTTTCATAAGTATCCTACAAGAAGAAGTGATGTATCACTTTTATAATGAAAAAGAATGAGTTACTGAAAATAAGGATATTAAAAGAAAGTAGGGGGGCCGGTGTTGTGCCACAGCAGGTTAATTTTCCGCCTGCAGCGCACCATGGGCACCAGTTCTAGTCCTGGCTGCTCCTCTTCCAATGTAGCTCTCTGCTATGGCCTGGGAAAGCAGAAGATGGCCCAAGAACTTGGGCCCCTGCACCTGCATGGGAGACCCAGAAGAAGCTCCTGACTCCTGGCTTCGGGTTGGTTTAGCTCCGGCTGTTGTGGCCATTTGGGGAATGAACCAGTGGATGGAAGAACTTTCTCTCTGTCTCTCCCTCTGTCTGTAACTTTCCCTCTCAAATAAATAAATAAAATCTTTAAAAAAGAAAGTAGACTCACATCATGCATAAGAATAAACTCCAAATAAAAAAATGAGATGTAAATAAAATAAAAATAAAACAGAAACATTAATACTAGAAATAAACATGTGAGAATCCTCTTTTAACTCATAGGGAAAGGCTTTCTAATTATGAATCAAAACCCAGAAGCACAGGGAGAATGTAAACAGTGTAGCCACTTTGGAATATAGTTTGACAGTTTATTAAATAAGTAAACATACCACCCAGAAATTCCATTTCTGGGTATCCACCCAGTGCAAACATATGTCCATATAAAAACTTAGAAGTCAATGTTCACAGCAGCATCATTCATCAAAGCCCCAAACTAGAAAGAATCCAGAAGTCCATTAACTGCTAAATGGATAGACAAAATGTGTTACATCCAGACAATGGAATACTATTCAGGAATAAACAGGAACAAACTACTGATACATGTGATCACAGGGATGAATTTGAGCAACATAAGTGGAAGAAGCCAGACAAAAATCAGCACATTCTATGATTCCATGTACATGAAATGTCTACTAGAGGCAAATCTATATAGACAGAAGCAGATTAGTAAGTTGCCTTGGGCCAGCAGCGGAAATATGAGTGACAATAAATGGGCATGAGAGCTCTCTCTGAGATGCTGACCACGTTCTACAACTGGATTTTGGTTCAAGTCCCAGCTGCTCCACTTCCAATACAGAGCCCAGCTAATGTGCCTGGGAAAGCAGCACCTAGATGATGGCCCAAGTACTTGGGCCCCTGCCACCAACATGGGAACACTGCATGGAGTTCCAGGCTCCTAGCTTCAGCCTAGCCCAGCCCCTGCTGTTTTAGCCAGCTGGGGAGTAAATCAGAGAATGGAAGATTCTCTGTCTGTGTGTTTCCCTCTGTTACTCTGCCTCTCACAAAAATAAATAAAGCTTTAAAAAGAGAAACAATAATTGTGGGGACCAGTATATTTCCTGGACACTCTAAGCCTAAAAACAATAAGAACTGTACATACATGCAGTAAACTAGTTCATAAAAATGCTTCTCACAGGGGAACAGGCTAGCAGTTCTGAAACTATGTGTATACTAGAATTGAACAAGGAGGCGAACAGACTGTCCATAGTGAGAGCTGTGTTTCTAACTGAGAAAGAAGATACAGAGGACAGGGGAAACACTAAAATGAATCCTGCAGTGTTACAATGGAATCAGAGATAGCAACTTAAATTAATAGTTTGTAAGAATTACACAGAGAGACACAAAAACGCAGATATTGCCAAGCTTTCCTCACTGCAGGGGCCTAGAAGCAGTAAGACCCCAGTAACAAGGAGCACAGCTAGGGCTAGCAGCATCCAAGTCTTGGCTTCTAAACACCATTTTCCAAAAAAGAAACCAGGGATCCCTGGAGATATGGTTGATTCTAGAATTGAGACAGGGAAAACAGGAGTTTGGGACATCTTGAAGATGCTCAAAACACTTAAGGACTTATTTCAGAACACAAAGAACCAACCTGAAAGACTTGCTCTGAATGAACAATTACAGCATTTATGTACTATCTGAGCAATAAAACAAGTGACAGTAGTGGATGTTAACTCATAGACTAAATAGCCACAAGTCTATACAAGTATAACTAATCAGTCAAATAAACAAAACTGGGGAGAAGAGGCAGCTTTTCCTCACAGTCAAATTCCCATAAATGAATTTCTGAGGCCAGAACTACTTCTTCTTATGTCAGGTTATCTCACAGTCAACAAGGTTGGTAAGATCCCTCACCTTGACGCCAAGTGCTATCAGATATTTGAGCATATCGAGGACAAAAGCTATGAGGAGAAAGAGCCTTTGCTAGAATACACATTTAATATTAATCCAGCTCTTACTTTATAGATCCAGGCAGGGTACCTCCATGGGCTTGAAGCAACATGACCTGTAGCTGTTGAACCTGGGAGAAACAAAGAAAAATAATCAGCTAGTCATCAATCAAAAGCTATTTATCCCTTGGCAGTGACATTACTACGATTAGTACCAGGGTAATTATACTCAATTCCTATGAATTCTAGTTCAGATCATCATGAGCACTCCAGAAGGCATCAAGGGTTGATGAGTCAATAGTAAAAGGACAATCAGCATTATATGAACAACTATTATTTAGAATGAGTTATACCTTTTAGCTAAGCATCTTAATTGATTTTTAAAACTAGGTGTTCAACAAAAATTCAACTGAGCACCAAGCTAGGCAACATGGGGGCACACAAAAATCAAACATGGTCGATACTCTCAAGTTTACAATCTAGTTGCAGAGGATAAGCCTAAAGCCAGAAACAGGAGAAAATAACAAAAGACAGTGCTAAATTGTCAGATAGTTAAGTGCTTTAGGGTTCTGAAAACAAGCAAAATTAATGAAATCCCAAAGCAGTCCAAGGGAGGCCTCCCAGAGATGGACATTAAACCAGAGTAAATTTACAAGCTTCCACTCCATTTCCTCTTTTTTTTTTTAAAAAGATTTATTTTATTTATTTGAAAGACAGAGTTACAGAGAGAGACAGAGAGAGAGAGAGAAAGAGAGAGAGAGGTTTTCCATCCGCTGGTTCACTCCCTAGATGGCTGCCATGGCTGGAGCTGCGCCGATCCCAAGCCAGGAGCCAGGAGCTTCTTCTGGGTCTCCCATGTGGATGCAGGGGCCCAAGGGCTTGAGCCATCTTCTACTGCTTTCCCAGGCCATAGCAGAGAGCTGAATTGGAAGAAGAGCAGCCGGGACTAGGATTGGCGCCCATAGGGGATGCCGGCACTTCAGGCCAGGGCTTTAACCCACTGCACCACATTGCCGGCCCCTCCATTTCCTCTTAATATAAAGGAGGGGCTGCTCCGCCTCCTGAGACGAGTCTCCAGGCTTGTACTTGGGGCCTCCACTCTTCCTGCCTCCTTACAAATCTTATGCCTTCTGTCTTCAACTTCTCCCTGTTCTTCAGGATCCTTCTAGTAAGGCTCTCCCATTTTAAAACAAAAAGCACCTTCTGTAACCCTACTTCTTATCTTGCTTGCCCTATTTCTCTTTCACAACATTTGAGAGAACAGTTTCCCTCCATTTTCTCTGGCTCCCTTCCCATATGCTCCTCAACCTATTCCAATCTGATCTGTGTCCACATCATCCCACTGAAATTCCTTGCGAAGGTCACCAATGATCTGCACATCACTGAAGCCAGTGGGCATTTCCAGTCTCCATTCTTCCTGACAGCTGCCAGTATCTGGGATTACCAAACAGTATGCTTCCCTGGGTTTCTTTCTATTCTTCTAGCTGATCTTTTAAGTCTCCTCCTTGGCTTAGTATCATTCCATTTATCTGTTAAATGGTAAAGTTCCTCAAAGCTCAGTATCAGTCTTCTTACTTTAATCTGTCTCCTTATATTCTCTTCTTTTTTTCAAGACTTTATTTCTTTGAGAGGCAGAGTTACAGAGAGAGGGAGACAGAGAGAAAGGTCTTCCATCTACTGGTTCACTCCCCAAATGGCCATTATGGCTGGAGCTAGGACAATCCAAAGCCAGGAGCTTCTTCTAGGTCCAGTGCCCATATGGGATGCCAGCACTACAGGCAGAGGCTTAGCCTACTAGACTGTAGCGCTACCCCCCTTATATTCTCTTCTTAAAGTCTCATCTCTGCCTATTGTTTCAATTATTGTGTGTAACCTGGTGACTCCCAAATTTGTCTCTAACACAGATCTTTTGAACTTTAGACCTTCAACTTCAACTATGTACCTGGTATTTCGACTTAGTTCTGTCTGCTATGCTCAAACCTGGTACTACTTCAGTGCACACCAGGTCAGTGAATAGCCAATTCCACATTCCAGAAACCTGAGCGTCATTCTCCTCATTTCCTTATTTAATTCACTGGTTAATTCTGTCACCATCACCACAAGTCTAAATCCTGTATCTATCACTTGGACTACTGCAGTCCTTCTTCAACAGTCACAAATCTATTCCTGTGATGGTATAATCCATATCTATACAGCAGCCAGATCATCTCTTAAAAACAGAAATGAATGAGGTTGGCATTTGGTCTAGCAGTCAGAACGCTGGTTGGGCTGTCCATGTCACACACTGGAGTGTCTGGATTGGATTCCTGGCTTGGGCTACTGACCCCAGCTTCCTGCTAGTACAGAGCCTGGAAAGCGGTGGTGAGGCTCAAGTAGTTGGATTCCTGTTACCTACATGGGAAATCTGACTGGGGTTGCAGGAATATGGCAATGGAGCAACCAGATAGGAGCTCTCTCTTTTTTCTCTCTCTATATCTCCTTGCATCTCAAATAAATAAGTACAAAATCTTTAAAGATGTAAATGATCAATTTTATTGCTCAGTTGAAAATCATGTTTTTCAGGGCTGGCATGTGGCATAATGGGTAAAGCCACCATCCGTGATGCCAGCATCCCATATATGGGTGCTGGCTGTGTCTGGCTGCTCCACTTCTGATCCAGTCCCCTGCTAATGCGTCTGGGAAAGCAACAGAAGATGGCCCAAGTGTTTGGGCCCCTGCACCCTTGTGGAAGACCCGGAAGAAGCTTCTGGCTCCTGGCTTTGGTCTGGAACAGCCGTGGTTGTTAATTCTGCCTTTCAAATGAATGATTAAATAAATCTTTAAAAAATCCCTTTTTTAAACAATTTATGTTCATTTTATTTGAAACACAGAGAGACAGAGACATGGGTGGAAAGAGGTCTTCTGGCCAAACCAAAAGTGCAGAATTCAATGTTTCCTACATGGGTGGCAGAGACCTAAGAACTTGAGCCATCCTCCGCTACCTTTCAGTGTATTATGCATTAGCAGGAAGCTGGATAGGAAGTAGAGGGACTGGGACTTGAGTCAGGCACTCCTTGAGATGTGTGCAATGCATCTCAAGCAGGAACTTAACCACTGTGCCACATTCCTGCTTTTAAGACCATTTTTAACATTGCCTATGAGTTCTTCATCAGGTCTCTTTTCTCTAGCCTCATACTGTAATAATCTTTCCTTAATTTCTACATTCTAGCCACATTGGCATCCTATGAGTCCTTCAAATGCTCCTTCCTAACTTAGACCCTTTGAGTGCTTTTTATGTCAAGTACTGTCCTAAGTACTATATCTATATTAATTCATTAAACCCCCCACAAAAACCCAGTGAAGCAAGTACTACTATTTCCACTGCATAGATAGGGAAACTGAGGTACAGAGAATTTGCCCATAGTACATAGCTGGCTAGTTACAGACCCAGGATTTGAAACCTGGGCAGTCTGGTTGCAATGTCAATGTTCCTAACCACTATACTTTGCCACACAGGCTGTTTCTTTCCCTTGATCTCTGCATACTTCTACTCAATCCCAAATATCCTACTTCAAATGTCGCTGCCACAGGAAGCTTTCCCAGACTAGATATGTAACAGAGTATATGATATATATGCTCAGAACACACTATGTGTAGCATACTATCCCAGTTTATAATTATATATGATGATTATGTGTTCAATGTTTGTCTCTCACATTTGGCAGTGAGCTCCATGAAGTCAGAAACTGTCTGGTTTGTTAAGCAATGTCTCCAGCACAGTATCAGGCACATAAGTATCTAACAAATACTTCTTGCTGGGATGAAGGACCAAATGAATGATCAGGAAGAAGGAAGGGCATCTTGGTAATAGGAATAAACATGAAAGGGGTAGGAGAGATCAGAACTGAGTGTGGTATTTTTATTATTTAAATGACAATGCAGACAGGTAAATTACTTATATAAGGGGTATTCAAAAAGTTCACAGAAAGACAGCATTTGGTGCAGTGGTTAAGACACTGTTTGGAATACCCACATCCTATATCAGAGTGCTTGGGTTCAAATCCCAGCTCTGCTCTCCATTCCAGCTTCCTGCTAATGCACACCCTGGGAGGCAGCTTGTGGTTTCGGCCTGGCCCAGCCCTGGCTGTTGCAGGCATCTGGGGAGTAAACCAGTGGCTGGGAGATCTGTCTCTCCAACTTTCAATTATATAAATAAAAAGAGAAGCTCATAGACAATGCATATTATGAAAAAAAGTATGGACTTCAACATTTTTTTTTTACCAAAATAAGCCATCTTTTTAAATCAACTTCATTTTTTTTTTCTATACAATGACCCCTAGGAGGAGAGTGTGCTAATGGAGAAGGAGAGAGAAAAGACATTCACCTAAGAGTACCATCACAGAGGAATGCTATCAACAGGGTGAGCACTGGGCAGTTAGAAAACACTAGATTTCCAGTGGAAAGGGTATACTAAAAGCTGGAACACAAGAAACCTTGACCTCCTCAAACATGTATACATCCAATTCCTGTCTTAGTTCCTTTACCAAGGCTACTGAGTTGTTACACAACCAGTCATGCTGATATCACTAGCAATTCATGCTCATAGCCAGCTACCATTTCCATGTCTGTGACAGTGATTTCAAATCTTCTATGGACTTGCCAAGCCACCCTTAAGCTTTCTACCCTACTATCTGCTTACTCTTACTACTCCACTGAGAAGGTCGGCTGAAAATCCGTCAGTTCCCTTTCTCCTTCTCCCTCCAAAGTAGCTTCAGTGTATTCTTCCTATCCTAACCTCTTTTCTTCTGGCCTTAGGGGCCAGTAGCTCCTTTACTATCCAGAGAAAATCCTTCTTTGTGTTTAGGATCTCAACTAGTTGTGAACGAGTCCCTATTCTCAGTTTCAGTCTATCCCAACAGGTTCTTTCACTTATTAAGTCTCTTTCACATTTTAAAAACAGAGACCTGCATTTCTTGACCCTTGGCTACAAAGCTATTGTCTTCCCTTGCCTTGCCTTCTTGAAAAAAGAGCCTGTCCTGCAGCAACTTGCTCTTACCACTCCCTAACCACCATCTTACCGAGTTCACCCATACACTCTCTGCTGATAAAAATCAAGAGACACTTTTCAATACTTACTTTACACTTCGTAAATTTATACCTTTGACACCCTTTTGGAAGTGTTCTAACCTTGGCTTCCATGACACCCTTGTCATTCCTCTTGCCTACTCCTTAATAGCCTCTCTCACTGTCTTTCCTTTCCCCATGCCTTAGATGTTAGCATTCCCTAAAGTTCTGTTTTTGACCTTCTTCTCTTCTGCAATCATTCATTCAGCAAATATTTAGTGAGTGCCTTTAGTGAGGCACTCTTGGATCTCATCTACTCTAACGCTTCAGATACTATCTAAATGCTAATGACTCTCAAATTTCTACCTTCACCTCAACCACTCTATTTAAAACTGAGATAGCCAGCTATGTTTGCCCATTTCTACTTATGTGACCCTCTGGCCCTTCAAATTAAAAATACCCCAAACTGAATTCATCACTTCCATTTTCCTGATTCAGTTTTTCCTCCTGCATTCTCTGATTTAAGGATTAGCACTACCATTTGCTCAGTTATCCAAGCAAAGAATTTGAGAATCTGGACTCTTCCTACTCACTCTTCGTTTCCCACATCAGAATTGTTACCAAGTGAGCCTTATACATTCTAGCTCCTTCTTGTCTTTTTTCCCCTCTATTTTGGCTCTTTCTCTTCATCTCTGTCATTACTGTCCTTATTTCAGGCCACTCGCTCACCTGGTTTATTACAACAACCTAATTCATTTTCCTTCTTCCAGTCATGCCCACCTCTAATCTACTTTCTCTACACTTGCTAGGGTGATCTTCCTAAAACACACATTCCATCATGTTGCCCTCTCCCTTAAAATCCTTCAGTAGCTCTTCACAGCTGTCAAGTTGAATTCTAAATTCTTTAACACATCATATAACGGTTCAGCCAGGTTCGGCCTCTGTCTACTTCTCTAGCCTCATCTCCCACTGCTCAGTTCTTCATCAGTGAAACCTCCAATACCACCCCAATCTTAAATGGACAGCACACATGTTAACAGGAGTTATTGCAAGAGGTCCCCCACACTAACATGCTTAACCAACACCGCCAAGCTGCTGACAGAGGAGAAACTCAGAAACAGCAGCTCCATCGTTCCACTCACGCATTCGTAATTTTCCCTACAAAAGTTCAGTCCTTTATACCTGTTGCTTTAGATGATTAAGTTCAGCCATCTGGGGATCAATATTAATCACAGGCTTATTCTTGATCTTTCTTGCTCTGTCAGCATAGCGAAGGGTATTTAACGTTTCCTCTAGATTGGAGTCAGCAGGACTCACACAGGCTATCATAAGGGTATGGCTATTACCTCCCAGAGAATCTGAAAAAGAACAATAAAAGACAATGGAAGGAAATGAAACCAAACAAGTAGGACGCAAGCAAAGCTGTCCATTTGGGTTGGTAATTTCAAACACAGAGCTGTAGAAAAATTCGTTCTTGTTTGTGTCAATATAAAACAAAGGTTTCTGATGTGTGAAATGATATCGTTTAGAATCCTCCTGCACGTGTTCCCATTCACAGTAGAGACTATGATTTCAGGAGTTAACCAAGTTAAACCAACCAGGGCCTGACCCAGTAATATAGGAGCCACTATTAGGGTTAAATATTCTTAGGATGCCTTCTCTAGGAGGATTTTAACTCTCCAGGAAATTCTGCTTGGCAGTACTAATAATTAAAGGAACAGTAACCAAGTTCATCTTGAGGTACAAAGTACTATATACAGATTTCTTGGCTCTCAAAGCCTTATATGAAGACATCATTCCATTATCGCAGAAACCTCACTGCCAACAGTTCTTTCCCCGATTTATCAACCAGACAGCTGTGAAGCGAGAGTCCAAAGAGTTGGCTTTTTAACCTATTGTATCTTTGCTTTCTGAGCACTATCATTCTGAGGTAGTCTCTCTTATATTTAGAAGCACTTTGGGCTTACCTTGAAGTAGTCGAGTCAACTTGGAATCTCTGTAGGGCACAAAGCCACCCTTTTTATCATCTCCAAGAGCACTGATTACATTTCCCAAGCACAGGAGGCCTCGATTAATATTAATACCTAACAGCAGGAAACAGAATTTAAATTGTTTGGTAAAGCATCTAACATATACTGACATGGTCTTCTGAGAAAGAGAAGATAAAAAAGACTCATAGAAATATTGTCATCAACCTAAGGAAACTTCTTAATCCTGTTCACTTCTGATATTGCCTCTAAGTTTAAAGGACAAAGGTCTAAATGTTGGGCACGCACAATTGAGTCAATTGGTACTTCCTGCCCTTTGCCATAGAAACAAAGCAGACAGATAATGATCACCATGACAACCACCATCTGTATAATTATTTACATTTTATAATCATTACCACAATCCTTAAATGGATGCCGTGAAATTAGATGAACAATTTCTACCCATATTTTTGCCATCTTATTATTATTATTTTTACTACAATTCTCTTCTCATCTCTACCTCAGAGGTTGTTAAATGGCTTGCTTAAGGCCATGTCTAGTAAGTGGTGGGCCTGAAATTCCATCTCAGGATTTCAGTCAAGTCCTATGCTCTTTCTATTATATCATATCAGAATATCTATTCCCTTGTTGCTGTACAAAGGGTGAAGATTCCTTTCCACTTAATTGAATTTCAAGGTTTATTTTTAAACATTATAATAATCTCTGAGGTCCCTGTAAAACTCTTGTCTTCCCATTAAAGCATCTGTGAAAAGGTTGTATATTGTATAATGGGTAAGTGCATGGCTTTGGTGTCAGAGAGACCTGGGTTCCAATTCTGGCTCTGTCGATGACTAGCTGCACAATGTTGGCTAAGTTCCCTTGACAAAATGAGGTAAATTTGGGGATGACATTTAGCCTAGTGGTTAAGACATAGATCAGGACATCTGTGTCCCATATCAGAGTACTTGGATTTGATACCCAGTTCCAGCTCCTAACTCCAGCTTCCTGCTAATGCAGACTCTGGGAGGCAGTAGTGATGGCTCAAGTAATTGGGCTCCTGCCACCCACGCAAGGCCTGGATTGAGTTTCCAGCTTCAATGCTGCCCAGCCTCGGATGCTACAGGTATGTGGGGAACGAACCAGTGGATGGGAACTCTGTTTCTCATTCTTAAAAAATAATAAAGTGAGGTCAATCTATCCTTACTGGGCTGTGGTGGGAATTAAATAAGATACTACATGTAAAAGTGCTTCAACACATTTGTGAGAAACTTCAAGTTTAGGGGCCGATGTTGTGGCACAGCAGGTAAAGCCGTTTCCTCATTGTTGGTATCCCATATGGCACCAGTTCATGTCCCAGCTACTCCACTTCTGATCCAGCTCCCTGATCTGGCCTGGGAAAACAGCAGAAAATGGCCCAAGTGCTTGGGCCCCTGCACCTGCATGGGAGACCTGGAAGAAACTCCCAGCTCTGGCTCCGCCTGGCCTAGCCACAGCCATTGCAGCCCTTTGGGGAGTGAACCAGTGGATGGAAGATCTCTCTCTTTCTCTCTGCTCCCTGGCTCACCATGTGGTCCTTCCTCTTGCATGTGTTCTGCTAACACTGCCCTCAGCAGATGCCAGACCAATGGGGTTACCTGATCTTGGATGGTGACCCTGCAAAACCAGGAGCCCATATAAACCACCTTCCTTCATAAGTAGCTTTTCTTGTGCACTTGTTATAGTGATGAAAACTGAATAATACATGTACATTATGAGAAAACTATCAGATTTCAAAAATTTTTTGTACTCAGAAATCTTTTTTAAAGATTTATTTATAAGTCAGAATTACACAGAGGGAGAGATAGAGAGATCTTCCATCTGCTGGTTCACTCCTCAAATGGCCACAACAGCCAGGGTGGGGCCAGCCTGAAGCCAGGAATCAAACACTTCATCCCAGTCGCTCACTTGGGTGCAGGGGCCCCAGCACTTGGGCCATCTTTCACTGCTTTCCCAGGTACATTATCAGGGAGCTGGATCAGAAGTGGAGCAGCTGAGACTGAACCAGCACTCAAACAGGATGCTGGCATTGCAGATGGCGGTTTAACCCGCTAAGTCACAGCACCAGCCTGCAAACCCAGAAATCTTTTCATTCTATTTTCCATGAACTTTTTGAAGTACATTCAAATTAGGAGGTAGGGCATTTAGGAAGTGATTAGGCCATGGGGTCTCTGCTCTTAGGGATGGGAGTAATGGTTTACAAAAGGGCTACCCCCTCTTTTCTAAGATTTATTTATTTATTTATTTATTTAGAAAGTCAAAAAGAGGGATGGAGGGGCAGAGAGAGGGAGAGAGATCATCCATCCACTGGTTCACTCCCCAGGTAGCCACAATGGCCAGTGCTGGACCAGGCTGAAGCCAGGAACCAGGAATTT